GGGGGGGGGCGCTCTTTGCTGGCCTCTTTAACAGATTTACTGGCGGCTATGTGCATGCTAGGGATTAAAACACAGAGAACACAAAGAACTATTTGAACGACAGAAGTGTTCCTTTTATCATCATCTGGTGGTTTTGCCTGGTATCGTTAAGTTTTGCAGTTCATATTTTGGGTATGCCACCCTTTTCTCCACACCATCAAACTCTCAACGCAGTCGTCACTTCGTTCGCGCATATTTTGCCTTTTCTTTTCAAATACAACATTAGAATGCTGCAGTTCGGCCTTCTTTGAATGCCAAATTTCAAGAGGCCATTGGCTTAATTCGGGAGGGGGGGGGGAGCGGTAGCCTAGGAGAGGACGGCGGATTTCCTCGTGAATTGAATAAGTGTGGCATTGCGGAAGCGCGCCCAACAAACCATGCCGCGGAGTAAAGTTCTGCGAAGTGCGCGAGCGTCCCGAGCGAGTCTGAAATAATGAAAAGCCATTAACTTGGACCCGCCGATGCAGCGCGCGGCCCGCGGGCTTGTTGTGGGGGCAAAGGAGGGACGACGTGGGGTGGGGGGCGCGGTCGGTGCGCCGTGCGCCGCGCACAACTGAAGCCCAACCTACTCCCGAGTGCTTCGTGCTGCCTACCGCGCCGGGGCCGCTCCAGCGGCGTGGTCGAAAGCCACATGTTAGTAAAGTCACAGGCGAAACGACTTACGTTTGCCAGGATTTGCCACTCCCGTTTTAAGCATCACCACGTGTCCCTTAGACACCCTGAAAATTTCAAGTCTGTAGATCATCGCCGTTCAGTTTTTCGCAATTTAGAACTATCTAATTAATTAGATCCTGGCAAACCCCGTAAAAGGAGTGAAAGAGATTAACCAGAAGTGCCAAGTGACATAGGTCGGGCCGCAGACCTGACCACACGCCGCTGGCAGGCCGAGCAGGCCCGGCCTCTTCGGTACGGAGTCGGCGGTGCGCCAAAAAGAGCTTGCAATTCCGTTTGGCGGAATGGCATGCCTGCTTTGTTGTTTTTTCAAATTACCAATATTTTTGTGTTTTGCTTTTTTTGTTTTCTTTTCTTTGCAAAACTTCAAAGTGTCTGAACCAGTTTAGACAAGAAAGTATAGGCATCTAAAGTACTAGTTTACATTTTTATTGAAAAAATTGTACATTTGTACTACACTTATGTCATATATGCAGAGGACATCATCATTTGTACAAGATAAGGGCTTCGTGGAGACCTCGTGTACGCGGTATCCCGCATCCCGTCCCGAGACGCCGCGAACCTGCGCGAAGCGGGCCAAGGGGAGGCAGGACTTGATGCATCGCCAGCGCATCTCTCCCTCCCTCCCCCGAGCAGAGCCGAGGGCCGAGCCTCCTCACAGCCCCATGCAGGCCTTGACCTCCCCCTTTGCCCCGGCGCGTCGCCCGGAGGCTGGGGCTGGGGCATGCGGCCGTGCTGTGCGCCGTGCGCGCCTCCCTGGAGCTGGCGTTGCTGGCAGTGTGTGGCGTGGCGTGGCGTGGAGTGGCGATGCGGTGTGTGTCGTGACGTAAGCCTGCCGTTCATTCATTCACTCACTCACTCACGCGGGTCCATTCAGCGACCGGAGGCTACCGTGGGCGCCTCGATGTCACGCGTTCGGTTGGAAAAAGTAGTTCATAGTTTGTTTTTTCTTTGGGGTTTCAGGGAGGCAGGGGAGGGCAAAGGTCACCCTGCAGCTCCCGTCCCGGACGGTGGATAGGATATCATTTTAAACATCGTCATTTTGATATGTCTATCAGCCTTTGAAACTACCCAAGTTGAAACCGCCTCCCCCACCACCCAGGCCACTCTTAAGACTACTAAGACTACCTAAGTTGAAGCCAGAACCGCCTCCACCTCCACCTCCGCCAAGCCCTCCCTTGAGACTACTGAGGTTGAAGCCACCCCCACTGCCACCGCCGCCGCCGCCGCCGAGCCCGCCGAGACTACTCTTGAGGCTGTTGAGGTTGAAGCCACTGCCGAGGTTGCCGAGGTTGAAGCCGCCGCCTCCACCACCCCCGCTGCGGCCGCCGCCGCCGAAGCTGCTCTTGAGGCTGTTGAGGTTGAAGCTGTTGCCGAGG